CTCTCTCTCTCTCTCGCCCCCTCCAGCATAAAATTTATTTATGCGTAATCATTGAGCACTTGCGCGTGACTGGAAAGCATGGCACGGTCGCCAGCTGTCGTTGATTTCGTGCAATAGTTTGTCGCTCGGCTTATGAAGAAGATCTCCCCCTTCACCTCAATACGATCTGTTTAAATTAACCGCCTCTGTATACGTAATGCCTTTGGAGGGACGTAAACTCACCTTTTGAAACGATCTGTCGGACTATTGCAGAGCTCACTTAGCATACAGTCCAAATCACTCGCCAGGGAATTTAATAACTGAAATGGAAAATTATGGAAATTAATCAAATTTATTTAATTGTATTTTTATTCTAATTTCATTATTGCGTGGTTTGAGGTGAACCCTAGGGTCTTGTACTGTTTTCGTACTGATTAGCCCGTAGACTTGGAGATTTTCCATTGTAAATTCTTGAACTCAATTGAGTGAGAGGAAAATATTCATTAGTTGAATAGAAATAATATTTTACAATAGATTTTTTTTTGTTTCATTTTTCTTAGAAAATCCGAGGAGAGTTGCATAATTTTTTGCACAATGATAGTGGAATGAGGAACAGAATGTTGAAGAAATATTCAAACTTTTCAAATTAATGAAAATATTTCATTCAATAGAATGAATAATTAAGCAAAAACGAATTTAAACGAAATGTACCAAACTGTTGATTAAATTAAAATCAAATAAAAATTAAAATTAAGTAAAAAATTCTTTATTAAAGCTAGCAAATAAAAAAATAATTATAGAACTCAAATAGAATTCTAATAAAGTTCCATTAGAAATTCCACGGAATTCGTCGCAGAAAGCGAGTGTTTCCTGTTGTTGTAACACTAGTTAATTTGAAATCTATCTACAGCAGAAAATCGATAGTCATCTGTGTCTCGTACGAGCATTAAGGGCTCCCCTAATTGAAAAAAAAAAACCCTGATGAAAACTTACAATCAAGTAGCTCGAGGCATTGCTGCCGATCGATTCCCTCTTTTTCTGATTTTGTGAAACACAATCCTTGTTACCAACTTGTGACATTATCGTATGACTCTCATGTTAGTCATCCCACGTTCTTGAGCCGATGATAGATCACAATTCCCGTTGACTAATCATTTCGTTCAGCATCCCTGTAATTAAAAAACGGTGAATCTCTGATGATGAAGAAAATGAAATGAATCTTCGCGGGAATGGAGTGCATTGGAAAAGTTTTGGAATTCATTTCATATAAATGTGGCTTTGTGGTCAAGTATAATCGAGTTTTAATGACACTCTGGGCTTGCGGCGGAGAGCATTAGTGGCTTCCGTTCCACGTGCACTATGTATCAGATGGAGAATAAACTGGACGCCATTTTTTAACATCAAAACAAATTGAATCAGATGGGGCGATTGAGGAAATCAAACGCGTGTTGATGCAATTATTTTAGTAACACATGCGATTGTTAATTGACTTCGGGGAAATAATGCAATGCAAAATGAATGATTTTTTAAAAATTGTGGCGTGATTTATTGCGTGACAATAGAGCGGATCATTTAATACTTTTTGTTTTAGTGTTGTTTTTGTTGTTGATAAATGGGAAATTATGCCCTGAATTAATTTTTTTGGCTGGAATTTTTGTCAAGTGACTGCTTCACTGGAAATTCAAGGAATTTCGTCATTGAAAATTCACAATTTGGTGAAAATTCAGGGAAACTTCAGAAAAATTAATATAATTTAAAATGAATGATTTTTTCTTTAATTATTAAGTGACTTATTGCATAATAATGGAGCGGATAATTGGATACTGTCACGTTTAATGTTGTTGTTGCTGTCGATAAATAGGAAATTATGCCCTGAATTAATTTTTTTTTTGGCTGGAATTTTTGTCAAGTGACAGCACCACTGGAATTTTAAGGAATTTCGTCATTGAAAATTCATAATTTGATGAAAAAATCTGTAGAAACTGTGAATTTCAATTCAATATATTCTTAAATTTTCATGTTATTGTATAAAATTCACGTGAGTCGGGGAATTATCGTCTTGCTGTCCAAAAATTTGGTGCTGCTCAAAAATTTGGAATTTTCAAGGAAAAAAAAATAGAATTATTTTTTCTCTGGGCAGAATCAAGATAGAAATCTAAAATTTTGCGAGTAAACATCTTTCATCATCACTGGTAAGAGGAAGAATTGTGGATGCAAAAGCAGGCGGGGGGGCATTTTCAGCGGGTTTATCCGGCTAGGCCCTTTAATTCTCCTGATTGTAAGTTATTGGCTATTGAAACCACTTCATTTAGCCCCGCTTTCTCTCATAAAGGTGCCTACAGTCAATATCATAAGTCAGGTAGCTACAATGCAAAGCTAATCAGGTTTAATCCCGGGCAACAAGTCACTGGGAGGATTATTTTGGGCTGAGAGTGGAACAAATGCAACAATTATTTTTCGAATAATCGTGGAAAATTACAGGGCTGTAATTGCTGATTTTATCGAGTACCAGTTACACTAGAATTTCAAGGAATTTTGTCGTCAATAATTCACAATTTGAAAATTCCATCTTTCAATCTCTAAATTTCTGTTCAATTATTCTATGAAAATTGAGAAAAAAAATTATTTTTTTAGAGTTTTGAAATTAGAATTTAAGATGATTCAATCAATTAATTTTTAATTCATTCAAAATTCAGTCTAATTTGGTACAGAATATTCCAATTTTGTTGGAAAAATCAAAGTTGAAGAATTCTGATCTTTCTGCTGCTAAAAAATGTGGAATTCCACTGAATTGTCAATGAAAATGAAAATTCTATAATTTTTCACTCAAAATAAAGAATTTTAATTTTTTTCAACTGTCCACCGAGTTTCAAATTTAATCAGGAGTGACTAAAAATCATACAAAAAAATCAAGGGAAGCTGTAAATTTCAATTCAATTATCCCCTGAAAATTGAGACAAAAAATCAATTTTTCCCGAATTTTTGAACTAAAAATCAAAATAATTCAGATGAATATATTTTTGCATTTTCAATTGATTAAAAATTCGGTGTAATTCGGACTGAATATTCCTATTTTGTTTAAAAATTCAAAGTTGTCTAAAAAATTTGGAATTACACTGAATCGTCAGTAAAATTTCATAATTTGTTCCCCAAAAATAAGAATTTTTAATTGTTTTTCAACCGTCACAAACATCTTTGTGTTAAAATATGTAACACAAATGTGTGTTTGAAAAAATAAGTCTTCACTCCCTCCACCGAAAACTGTAAATCAATGTCCGACAAAAATTGCGTCGAATATTCCATTCCCCCCGAGATGATGTCTTTCAGATGTCTTTCAGACGATCCGCATAATCCCCAATAATAGACTAAATCTTTTCCATTACCTAACATGTAGAAGTGATTGAAGATAATGAGTTACTTCTTTCTAATTCAGAGTTTGAGACACCATTTGTCCATCGAGAGCACCTGTAATTTCGGTGGGCTGACCACCAGCGTTTCCGCCGAATAAAATGGAGTATATAAGCGAATTCTGCCATTCATTTCTCAGTTTTACGCGCTAGGAAGTACTCGTAAAATTCAGTGATTCGATAAAATTCGAAATTTTTTCTTGGATTCCCACTCTAAGGATAAAAATTCTAAAATGAAAAGTGGTATTCTTCTTGGATTAGCGATACTTTTGGTTGCTCAGAGTTTCGAGAATGCCGAGGCTGTAAGTATTCTCTAATCGTTCATTAAGTCATCTAGACATTTTCGCAAACAAGATTGATAAATAATTCAGCAGTGAAGTGATAAAATCAGTAGCGAAGTGGTCAAACGGTTCAAGTCAATTTAGTCTTTAGTTGAGTTTTCCAGAAATATGTCCGAATTTAAGGAAGATAGCAAAATTTTCATAATAAAATTTTTTGTAGAGCGAATTGAGTGCTACTAAAACGATTATGCGAAAAATTTTGCCATCTCCCTTAGACTTCGAGATATTCATCGAAAACTGGCGAATATTCAAAATCGACTTGAACCGTTTGATCACTTCGCTACTGAAATGTTAAAATGAAAAAATTAATGTTAAGATCGACATATTAAAAAATTCTATTAAATTTCTATTCAATAGAGTTTCAAACTGGGTTTTATGAACCATTATTATTCTATTTCATGTCATACAGGTTTTTTAATCGTTAAAAAATAGAGTTTCTATTAAAATTCCCTTAGAAAATCGCTTTTCCACTGAATTGAACATCTAAACTAATTTTTCACTTGAAGAAAATGACGATACCGCAAGTAACGAACATGCTGATGCCGATGAGGAAGACCTGCATACAAAAAACCGGCGCGAGTGCAGGTGATGCGATACAGTACGATTGATCAATTAAGATTGAATTCGATAGAATTCTTTATCAACAAGATAATGTCCTTTCAGACTTGGTTGACGCGCCGAAGACTGGCCCAATGCCGGACGATCCCTCCCTGAAGTGCTACTACTCATGCCTGCTGAAAATGGTCAAAGTCGTAAGTCCAAATTGTCTCATTTTTCCCATTAATTAATAATATTAATTAATATTTTAACTAATTAATTAATATTTTTAGTAATATCAATGAAAATTGTTTCAATTATTTGATCCAAACCAAGAATCCATTTGATCCATTTGCGTGATAAAAAATTCGGTCTCTTGATCGTCCAAACTATTTCATTTCTAAATAATAATGCATTTATTTTATGTGAAAAAAATAGAATAAATTGAAATGCAGGTTAAGTTTTAATAAATGGTTTGTTATGAGAAGCAATGAGAATGATTTGATATTTTTTCGATTGAAACGAAACATTCTCCGGATGCTGTCTGCCAGTTGTTTTACTCCAAATTTTGCGGAATCTGTTTTTAGGTAACGAAAGAAGGTCTACCCAATTATGAGAATATGGTGAAGCAAATGGACATGATGCTGCCGGCTGATGACTTAACGGCACGATTGAAGGACGTCATCAACTTGTGCGCTCCTAAAGGTATTGACAGAGTCAAATTTTTCGTTAAATTTTGAGAATTAATAATAATATAATTAATATGGTGATTATGTAGTTGAAATACAGTCAGAAACGAATGGAAATTTCGTGGAGGGTTGAGTAGGATAGACTTCTTAGGAGAGTGACATTGAATTCGATTTGGAAGGAAACAAAAAAATAAAATGTCAGATTTCATAGAAAATTCAATGAGCTTGTGAACTTTTGAGCAGCAGGAAGACGAGAAGTTCTAAAGTACTTGAATTTCCCAGCGGAATCCATCAATTAATTAAAAAATCAGGCATATTTACCCGATTTTTCCGAATTTCTGTGAATTCTTATGGAGTAATTGAACTTAAAGTTACGATTTCCATTTATTTTTTCATAAAATATCCAATTTTTAACTGTGAAATTCCTTGAAATGCGAATATGAACAATATGAACATCTCAAATGAATTAATCAATAGTACAAAGAGAGGGATAATTGTTTTAATTAAAAATTTTTTTAGAGTGCTTACACTCTATTTGAATTTCCCATCGGAATTCATCAGTTAATTGAAGAATCCGGCATATTTACCGAATTGTCCTGTTTTCTATGAATTTTTTTTGAATAATTGAATTTAAATTAACAGTTTCCAGTGATTTTTTCATAAAATATTAAATTTTCAAATGTGAAATTCCTTGAAATTACAATAGAACAATAATATGAACTTCCAAAATGAATAGTACAAAGGGAGAGATAATTTTTTTAATTAAAAAAAAATGTATAAAGTAAAAAATATTTTCCACTTTCCAGTGACGAGTACTGAGCCTTGTGAAGCGAATTGGCAGTTCATCAAGTGTTTTTATGAGACGGATAAAAATGTAAGATGATTGAGAAACAGACTGAAAAAATATAAAATATAAGGATAGCTTGGGATGAGACGATACTATGTATCAAACTCTGTTGCAGGTTTGCTTTTTCCCATGAAGAGCCGGGGGTTTGCTGGAAGTCTCTTCGCAATCGATCCATGCAACAGCAGGGCGCAATATCAACGCAATTCCAAATTATCCTGACTACGATGAATAAAAAAAAAGAAACAATTTTTTACGTACATACAAATTAAAGCAATTGTAATCATAAGCATCAATAGTATTTTTTTAATGGTTCAATTGATTTTTGGATAATGAAGAATTTCAAAATTGAACTTTTAAAACGAGAATGTTGATAAATTGATGATTTTGGGTGCGAAGTTATAAAAAATAAATTGTAATACTGCAATAAAGTGTTGTGAACACATTAAAAAATTTAATGCTTGGGTTTCTGGGAGCGTTAATACTTTGGCTAATGGAGGAACGTATAAAATGAACTCCTCGGATGACTTTGCGGCTATTTCTGATAATAGCCTCTACAAAATTCATAAACTTGCTCAGACATTCACATAGGGAAGCTCCTAGTTTTCAGAATAAACTTACTAATTTTATCTCGTCATTTAACCAATCGTTTTTGTTCATCATTATTGAATGAAAATTGAACAAAAAATGAAAATCCTATTTCCAATTTTTTCAATTTTGGAAAAATAGGAGAAGTTTTATTTTTTCAAGTTAGAAGTTTTTTTGTATTTTTGCTTATTTGTGACCGTAAATTGGCTAGATGGAGTGGCTTAATTACTAATTTTATGAAATTTATGATTCTAAATGATGCATCGTCCTTAGATCGAGACAGTTTATTCAATTTTAGACGAAAAACCTTAAAAATTCCTCGTAAATTTGAAGAATTTCGTTTATACCATTTATCTATTATTAATTGTCATTCATCCTCACTCGGTCGATTGTCATAGCCATTAAACGAATTGTAATCATAAACATCATAAGCATTTTTTAATGATTCAATAGATTTCCGGATAATGAAAATTTTTAAAAATAAATTGTAATATTGCAATAAAGCGTTATGAAAACATTAAAAAATTTAATGACTGGGGTTCTGAGAGCGTTAATACTTCGGCTAATGGAGAAACCTATAAAGCGAACTCCTCTGATGACTTTGCAGCTATTTCTGATAATAGCCTCTAGTGTTTAGACTAAACTTACTAATTTTATGAAATTTATGGTTCTAAATTTTGCATTATCTTTAGATTGAGATTATGCAAAATTTCAGAGATTGAGATTTATGCAATTTCAGATGAAAAACTTTAAAAATTAGAAATATTTCTCTATATTCCTCTCGTAAAGTTGAAGAATTTTGTTTATACCATTTATCATTTATTATTAATTGTCATTCATACTCACCATAGCTATTGACTCGTAAAAATGAAGAGAATAATTGTCTCCATCGGTGAGAGATAAAATCGGGAGCCTATTGAGTGCTAGAAATTCATCACAAAGTTGTCGGTCGATTTGTCACAGCCACTCGCTCATTCATCTTTATTCCCCGTTAATTATCTAGGGCTCCGACAAACTGCGCGCTATTGACGGAGAATATGGAGTCAAAGATGAGCCGCAACGTGACTCCGCTATCGCACGAAATTATCAAGGAAGTGTTTCCTGTCGTGCTAGAAAAAACACGAGATCGCGAGGAAAAAACTCAAATTGTCAGCTGCCGAGCGGATTTTCAGTATAAATATGAATAGTTTGGAAAAATACCAGTCAATTCGTGTAATAACTACCTGCCGAGGTGTTTCAGGCGCATTGTTCAATATTCATTCGGTATGAAGAGTGGAGTATTCTTCGTTGCTCTTGTGGGCGCTTTTGCTGTCGTTGTGAGTCGAAACTTTCTTCAGTTATCGATTACCGTTATATTGTAGGGGGAATTGGGAATCAGAGGTGGCGGAGGGAAAATGAATGTCAGGGTATTCATGTATTATTATAATGTTGAAATTTTTTGAAAATTTACCGCGAAGCGTAAAATTATTTAAGGATATTCAAGTAGTTTGGCTATTTTTTCTCCAGTGAAATATTTTTCTACTGTTGTAGTCAAACATCAGAGCTTTGACCTCAAGTTTCAGAATATTTTACAATGATTTTATTATTTAAACTTTGAAAGTTTGACTTTGAATGTTAATATTGAAGCGTTAGAAAACATTTAAAAATCTGAAAAAAATTAGAAAGTTTGCTTTTGGAAAAAAATTGATGTAATAATTTAACAATTCCAAGTTTTGAAAATTATGAGTATTTTTTATAAATAATTTATAAATAATCCATTTTCCACTATAAAAATTAATTGACAAATTCAACGATTGAAAATGTCTAATTGAATCTCCCCCCGAGATCCTTAATTCCTCATTATTCCAAAAAGAGGAATATTCCAGTGATAAAGTGGTAAAAGGTAACGAGTTGATTCAGCGAATCCAAGAGAGAGTGAAATTTCTGCCGAGCTCCTCAAGAAAAAAATCACTATCTCCCACAGATCCACAGATATCCCCCAAGAACTCAATTAAGAGTTGAGTCTACTTGTTCCCCCTCATCACTCCACTACTCATTTCTATCCTTGGAGAATGAAATAGTAGTTAGAAGTACAAATGAATCAGGAAGTTGAGAATGTCGTGGCAAAAAGTGCTGAAGCAAAGATGATTCAACTCAACTGTAGGGAAACTTCTCTCCTACATATCATCGAATCCATAAAAATCTCGTTATCAAACTTAATTCCAAGGAATTTAAAAGAAACTCATCATCAAGTAAAACTGACTCATCTTGTTTCACAAGCTTGCAACTAAATTTGTAATTACAACCAAATGATAACAATAACGATAATAACAATTTAATAATAATAATAATAATAATAATTGACAATTAAACTGAAAAATGAAAAAAAAAAATCAATGATTGAAAATAATAATTATTTTAAAAATAATAAAAATGTTTTGTCAACTCTCAAATTGATTACAACTGTCGTTTCCTGATAGAAATGAATATTTCATTGCATTCTTTCCCATGCGAATTCCAAGAACTCATTGACATTTCAAATGAGATGAGAATGAGAAATAAAATCTCAAAGTCGTAACTCTTCGTGTCATGGAATTTTTAATTATTATTTATCATTATTTATTATTATTGTTAATATTATTATTATTATCTTTATTGAGAAAGAACAGCATATCTCGAGGCAATAATAAATAATAATTTATTTGTTCTACTGTATCGAGGCAATAATTAATTAATTAATTGCAGATTCTAATAATTTTGGAAGCCCATATTTATTATTGTAAAAATTTCAGGCTGGGGATCCACCTAATAAAGATTGTCCACTCATGAAGGCACTGAAGGAGAGCATCGACGCGTGCATCGATAAACTCAGTGAAGGTTTGTGATGAAGGCACTTGTTGATTCGTTCACTCCATTATTGTGAACAATGGGAGTTGAAAATCGGTAGTGGAGAGGTAAAAAGAGCTGAGTCAGTCCGGCGCTTTGTTTTTGCTGAATAGCTTGGAATTCAGGAGAGATGGGGAAATTTCTCTCTGAATAATGGAATTCCGAGGTGACTTCTGACGATATTAAAGTGGGGCACTGAGTGATTATGAGTTTTATGATCTTTTTCTTTTAATTTTATTTTAATTTCTATTTTTAATCAATTTTTCATTGCATTTCGTTGAAGCAAGTGCACCTGATTTTCCCTCATCAGTCGAAAAAATTGCAGAATTTTCTTTGAATATGAAAAATGGATAAACATCCCCAAGGAGTTTCACTTGTTAAAAAAATCTTATGAGAAATTAGTGAAGAAGTAAAATCGTTTGAGTAAATTTTGACTATTGGTCAGTTTTCAGTGAATATCTCTGGATCTAAGGCAGATAGCAAAATTTCCGTCATTACCTTTTTTGTAGAGCGGATTGAGACCTACAAAAAAGGTCATTACGAAAATTTCTCTATCTCCCTTCAATTCAGAGATAAAATTGTTTTCCCACTTCGCTGATTTAAAAGGCGATTTCTAATATGCAGAGTATTTTAATTTCAAACAATTAATTATGCAGAAAGTGCTAAACTAATGGAGAAAGATCAGTTCGCCGATAACGAGGAAATCCGCTGCTTCCATGCATGCGTTATGACTCACAGTGGCCTTGTGAGTAAAAAAAACAAGCTACAAACAAATGTTCATTACAGAAATGAAAATATTCAATCACGATTCGATTATTATCTTTCCTTCAGATGACCGATGGCAAGATGGACATCGCGGCCCTCGAGGAAATGCTGTCGGGGGATCCTGAACACGAGGAGGAAGCCAGGAAAATCACGGAGATAATGAAATCGTGTAAGCCCGAATGTAAGTACTCAACCCAAATCCCTGGACTGCCTCGGTATCCGAGAGTGAATTGGTTAAGTGTAGCAAGATAGAACGAGTCGTCTCTTTACGTCTTGTTGGAGTGATCCGAGACAACACGGGCATGAGCAGGGATAGCCGTTTCCATAAATTATAATTATCGTTAAATTATTAAGTAGTCAATTCGTTAATATCAGTCTTCAATTTTAATTATTGAGTGATCATCAATTTTAATATTCAAATTCCGAATTATTTATTGAGGATTAGTAGGATAATCGGAAATTCGTTATGAGAAATTTAGTATTATTTACTTTTATAAAAGTAAAAAATACTAAATTTCTTATGAGGGATAATTAATAATCTAAATTGTCAGTTGACGATTAATTAAATATTTAATAATATTATTAAATATTCAATTCATTATTAATATCATTATCATCATCATTAAATTATATTACTAATATTATTAAATATGTAATTCATCGTCAGTTGAAAATTTAGATTATTAATTATTATTTTATTTTTTAATTTTGATTAGAATATTTAAAGCGTAATCAATGTAAGTCGGAAATACTTTTGATATTGAATAGTCGGAAGATTGATGGCCATCCCTGCGCACGATAAAATTTCATGGGAAAACCTAGAGAAATCGCAAGAATTTTTTTTCATTGAAAATTCACAATTTCAAGGAAAAATCAACTTCAACACGTTACGATTTATCAATTTCCTACTGTTCAATGTTATTGTCCAATGTAACTGTTTATTTAAATTAATTAATTCTCTCCCAATTGCAGCTGAAACGAGTGACAATGAGTGTGAAGTGGCTGGCAACTACGTAAAATGTTTCCAGGCGAAGAAAATGAATTAATAAACGAAACCTGCACACTAAAAATACTCAATTATTGTAACTTGTGGCAATTAGAAAATAAAAATTCAAGCATCAAAAGCAAAACGTTAATTATTACTCTCTCCCGCAGATCACCGTGATTAGCTGGACTGATGAGTCAGTAGGGGTGATAATAAATACGATGATAAGTGATGGAAATTAGTGGGAATGACGAATTTCCAAACAAAAGAATCAACTAACTAAATCAACGGCTCGTTAATTCCATCAGCTTTTACATTGTAAGAGAAAAACATAAATTTACCTAAAGAATTACGAAACGCTTTCAACTTGTTATCGAAATTATCAGATTCCCTCGATCTCAAGCGCAACTAAATAAAACAGAATTTAACAAAGGACATTCTACGATCCTCTGTGTCAAACATCTGTAAGCTTTCGAAACGAGCGAAGCGTGTACACGTGTGACAGCCTCAAAAAAAATATTATTCTCGAAAATTGCATGTCTATTACTGTTAATTATTTGCGTAAAGATCCTTAACGATATTCGAGCATTTTTTACCATTTTCAATCATCAAATTTTGTGAATTAAATTGCGTGAGGAAAATTTGAAAACAATTATCAATATTCAGTATCATTAAAATTATATTTTGCACAGAATTATTTTTTAAACATTCGTTGTTTATAAATAAATAATTAAGATGCGTTTATAAATAAATAATTAAGATTGTTTATAAATCCTTTTTCATTTATTTATATAAAATGCTCAATCTGCCTCCAAATATAATTTTCTCATTTTTTTCAGATTAAAAAAATATTTTCTATGGTTCAAAATTGAAATTGAAATTCAAACATGCAATAATTTGTTGGAATTAACGAATTATTCATTTCATATAATTAAAACATCATTGAAATGGATATAAGAATTGTAAATAAAAGATTTTATTTTGTTCAAATGTGACATTGCTCTCGTTGTGTGGAAATAATAATAATATAGGAATCAAGCTATAAAATCTTGAATACCCATTTGATAGCTCAATCCAGAATGTCTCAACAAACAAAACGATCTTAAGGACATAAAAATCGGGTGAAAATTGTGACTATAAAAAATATTTATGAACGGAATCCAGCAGCGAAGGCAAAAGATAAAACGTTCGCGTCAATTTCGCGGGATTCAAGGGGAAAAGCAAAATTTTTAGCAGCTCCCATTTTTCATTGCGAATCAAATTTGTTTCAGATAAGAATTTATAATGAAGTTTGGAATAAAATTTCGGGGATTTGTTTGTTTGAAACAAATTTGATTGACGGAATTATATTTTTTTTTCAATGTAAGAAAAATTTGTTATCGCTTTTAAATTTATCCCTTCGAAATATTTTTCAAAAGCTGGAAATCGACTGAAATTGTTCAATGTTTTTGCCACTGAATAAATAATACTATTAAACTATCTCAATGAATAACAGTTACTCAATTAATCGGTGAATTCCAGTCGTGATAATTTACGCGCAAGAATTTGCGCGAAAAATAAAAATTAGAAAAAAAAATTGATTTGTTAGTTCAATTATTCCGCGACAAGTCGGAAAATTCAGGAAAAAATTGGAAATTCGTGTGATTTTGTTTCCCAATATTTACGTTCCGCTGAAAATTCAATCAATTTGTGAAATTTCCGTTTCACTCCCACTAAAAACTCACGAATATCCTCGAATTCTCCCTAAAACTTGAAATTTCGTAAAATTTTCAAGGGTCTTGAATGCAAAAAAGGCCAAAGTACATGGATATCCCCAATTTCAAGGCGATTGAATTCCCAGCAGGGACTGGAATAATCTCCCTTGATAAACCTCCACAGTAGTACAAGAGAAAATCAGCAAGTCATACCCAAACAATCTCGCGTCCCCCAGCTGAATACACACGGCTCACTGATACGAGCCTGTCCCCATCCGCAGGATCGATTCTACCCCATAAAGGTCGTCAATGTCCCACCATTGGACGAGCCGTTTAGCAGATGAGACGAAAAAGTTTCTCAGAAATGAAAAATGTTAAACAGGGAGTAACCACGGCCAATCGCTGTTACAATCCAAATATGTAAGCAGCGTGGGCATTTTGACATTTTTTTATTCCGTTTTTTTTTTCTCCTCTCCTCTACCATTTCTGCAATGCTGCACCCACACACGAGACAACTGTGAAAACGGGTTCTCTGGGCTTTAAAGTGGTGGTTGTGGCCGTGCCCACTTGACGATTCGAATGAAATCGGGACCAAATGGAAATACTCTGCATGTGTGTACACACAAAACTGTTCACTTTCATCAAATTGAAATCGCACAATCGCATGATTTAATTGGTCGGTATGCCAAGGACTCGAGAGGGCCAACGTCATCTTTATATGTGTCTCAGCTCTCCTCGATTTTAGTTGAGTTAGAGGGGAGACGGCCTCTCTGAGTGGCATTTCATTTTCATTTCATACAGACCCAACAGCACACGGCCAATTACAGAAGCAAAATTGAATAGATGAGGGGTATAGTGATGAAATTAGTAAAAGCGACGGTTCAAAGTAATACGCATGAGGGCATTGTTAAAGCATTATTTATAGTGCTTATATTTTTTCAATTCGTAGACAATCTAATGTTTTTCAATGACTAAAGGATATTCGAGTATTTTTTACAGTTTGGTACAAACCACACGATACGTGGTTAGAAATTTTTTGAAATTTCGTGGAAGGTATTATAGTAAATCTCCTGAGAGTGACATTGAATCGAAATTCATGAATGTTCAGTGGAATTTAAATATTTAGAAAGAAAATTACATAAATTTTCAATTTTTCCCTGATTTTTCTGAATTTTCGCAGAATAATTGAATTGAAAAATAGAGTATTTTATTGATTTCCAGGTTATTAGAACAGAAAATCAATGGAATATTTGATTTTTCAATAACAAGTTCTGCTGAAATTTCAGTGGAACGTGAACACGATAAAAAATTCCGGAATTTAGCACGAAAAATTCAGACGAAAATTTTTAATAGTGTAGATTCAACCCTTTTCAATCATGAAATTTATCAATTAAATTGCGTGAGAAAAATTTGAATAAAATCATCAATATTTCAAACATTTGTTGTATATAAATAAATAAATAAAGTTGTTTAAACTTTCTGAATATGAATAAGCTTGTTACGATTCCGAACAAATGATTTTTATGATGAGAAATTAATTGTTTATAAATGTATCATAGAAAATGCTCGTAATTTTCAAAAATCGCAATTTTAAAATTATTTCATCAATTTTCCTCCAAAAGTGAACTTTTTAAATTTTTTCTTAATTTCTAAAATATGTTCTAACGGTTCAATACCAAAATTCACATTGAAGCCCGCAAAATTTGAATAATAAAATTATTGTAAAATATCCAGAAACTTGGGATCAAATTATTTCCTATTTGATTTTTTCTTGTTCATTTTTTAATAATTTATTTTATCATTTAATTACTTGATAGTTGCTTTCGATTGGTTTTGCACTTAAGCTTATTTTGTCGCTCATTTATTCATTTGCTGCTTGCATTATTTGTTATTATTTTCATTCCCCAGAATGCCTACGCGCCGCACCAATAGATTACATCAAAATTTTCGGAACATCCGGCGAAGAATTCGAGAATACTCAATCACATGTCAGAAGGCGTCTCTCGTATTGAATAGAGTAATTTATTTTTCAGATTTGAATGGGTATTTCGCGGTGACTGGGTGATAAATTCATTTGACGGATTGGACACGGTGACCTTCATCAAACTAATCGAAAAATGTAGAAATCTGTCGATGGAAGTTTATCTGATTTCAGTTGGAGCTAAACGGAACAAAAGCGTTCAACTGCGCGGAATTCGTGACCTGTTGAATGGGATAAAATCGAAGGCTCTGACATTTTTTCAAAGCGCTTTTTTCATGGATTTTTAACGGTCGACTGATGGAACCTCTCCAAATATTTCAGTTTTTACTGCGTCGTAGAATTTTTACAGTGAAAATTCGCTCTATCGCAATTGTCTGTGTTTCAAATATTTTTTCCACAACTGCAATAAAAAAAATAAAATTGCTTGGAATGTTGCTAACGATTTCTGAAAGTCAGGGGTCATTTAATCCGTAGGAATTCAAGATATTTAGGAAAATTCATCCGGCAAATGAAATGTCAAATGAAACAGACCGATTGACCTTAATTTTCTTGATTTCTCTCAATACTCATAGAATAATTGAATTGAAATTCCCAGTTTCCCTTGTTTTTTTTTTTTTTTTCATAAAATCCAAAATTTACGCCGCTTAAAATTCTGGAATTGTCCTATTCAGTGAAACCCAAAATTTCATGATTTTTGTTCCCCTAAATTTCCCGCATTCAGTGTCACTGCAACTGTCCCAGAAATTTCATTGTTTTTCCAACAGTGCACTGCCCAATGATTCTTATCACCTGTGCACACACCTTCTCTCCACCATGTGCATCCCCGCATTTGCGCATTCCCCCGAGTGTGAATGTGTTAGCACGAGCGATTGAAACATGGCGGGCTGCGGCGGTTAGGAATATACAAAAGTATGCAATTATGGCGGTGGCTGCATTTATAAATATTCCAAAGGGACACCAAGGAAAAAATCATGAGCGTTGCTCTCGCGCGTCAGTTTATTCTGGGATTAAATCTACACATGGGTTTTTCACCGCGCGCTGAATTGAGAGATGAAATCTTTGTGGAGTAACTACTGTTTATGAGGCCCAATGAGACCATGATTTATGTCGTTTATTGCCCGACTACCGTGTGTCACTGGGCTTCAAATAAACATTGCAATTAGTTTTTGTTTTTTCTGTTCATCCCACTTGCACTTTCACTCGAGACGATTGAGTGATTTGTGGAATGGGGTAAATCCCACGTAATTTTGACTATTCTTAACTATACTTTAGCGTTTTTTATGTGTATGAAAAATCATTTACCTTTGAGAAGAATTCATTTCCGCTTCTTGGAGTGTTTTTCGTTGATTGAGGTCCTCACAACTGCTGTATTCCTTGTGGTAATAAACGTCACAGTAAAAATCACTTTGGTTTAATTAATTATTAATTAATTAAATTGTAAGGAGGCAGCGCTCCGAATGAGCGAGAGATCGTCACGGTTTATTTGTCTTGCCTTTGTCACTGAACTCGCGAGTCTCAACTGGAGATGACGAATTTCCAGTGAAAGAGAAAAGGTATAAAAAGGGGTGGGATATAATCGTCACTGGGGAAAATGCCTCACATATCGCCGAGGCCACTTGTCTTTGTTCGGGGTATTTTGTTTATTTCATGGCCTTTTGGATTGAATTGGGATGTAGGGGCATTCACGGATTTACGGCACGGCGCATCACCTGTTGCGCGGGTGCGCGCCGAACGGATGACAAATACACGCAAGTAATCGCTAACGGGGAATGAGAGACATGAGGGGCTCAGGGGTTTGACGGGAGTGTGACGGGAGGAGTCGAATTGAAATAATCGACGTCGAAATATATCGATCGGCGTGCGGCTCCGGGGGCGCTGCGAGCGGCGGCGGGAGGATTTGAATTGAATTTAGAGAAATGGGGAGGCGGGGGAGTATTTGGTTTTTGACGTCGACACGGTTTTTAGTCTGTGGTGGGGGAATTCGCGGGGTTAGTCTTAAGGCTAGCGACATCTGTCGGAATTGCAGATTTTTCTAGAAACTTTGAGAAAATTGTCCGGTTTTACAGGAAATTCAAGAAAATTCTACGGTTAACTGACAATTTGAGATCATTCTCCGGTTTTTTAGAATATTCAAGAAAATTCTCTGCTCTTGTAGGAAATTATAGAAAATTCTTCGATTTACAGGAAAGTTTAAGAAAATTCTCCGGTTTACTGGAAAATTTGAGAAAATTCACCCATTTTATAGAAAATTCTGGACAATTCTCTGGTTTTCTATAAAATCTGAGAATTTTCTCAAATTTTCTGTAAAACCGGAAAATTTCCTCGCATGGTCCAAACAGCCGGAAAAATTTCTCGAATGGTCTAGAAAACGGGAGAATTTTTTAGAATTTTCTGTAAAACTGGAGAATTTTTATTGATAGGGCAGAGTAATCACCGTCGAATGAGCTTTCATTTCCATTTTTGGAAGACACTTATAAAAAAATTTAAAGTTTATATACATAAACTAAAATTGTACCCAAAAGTCATTTTTAATGAAATTCTAGAACCTTTGCTGCAATGTTCCATCTTTTCCGTATAATACTTGATTCGACGTTTTTTATTGCTCTCTACGACGCTGCAATCTCCGTTGGAGATTCCAAGCTTCGGAAGTAGCTTTGAGATTTCCCCGTTCGGCTCAGTAATTATTGATGCGGCGGGCCCTCTGTTTCGTTTTCTCGACAATTGTTAACCTTACCCCTCTAAAAAATTGATGTCGACGCTCCTCTCTTTTCCCATTTGCTACTCGAATTCTTTTTGCCAGACTAATCAATTTTCCACGTTTCCGTATCTAGACAAGAGCTATTGAAAATTCCATATTTAATTTAAAACAAAAATACTTTTATAGAATAAATAGTGCATTCTCTGAAAAATTCTATTGGCTTTCTAATGAACTTCTATTGAAATTTCCATTAATTTTTCATCAATTCTACTGAAAAATTCAGTAGAGTAGAAACTCTTCAACATAATTTTTCAGTAGAAAATACCCCGATAGAATAAGGTGCAGAGAAAAATCAAATTTTATTGATAATTTCTCTTAAATATTCTCTTCTGAACTTTTTTATTAGAGAAAAATACAGAAAAAGTGCCGAATTTTCAACAAAATCGGAAAGAAATTGATACAATTTCCAACAGAAATTCAACAGAATTTTTTTTTCATACGTGTCATCCAATAAGTTCAAAAAATTTCGATCAATATTCAACCAAAGTCGATAACTTATCCCTGGAGTATTCCATTCCAGGAATTTTCTATCCCTCAAGTTGTAATCTGGGGAATCCCCCACGAGCCGGGGTTATTCAACCTCAGCGACGTTCAGACCGGTGCTCCCCCCAGTCAGGACAAATGGTGGTCCTCTGTTTTTACTCCTAGAAATAATCAACCATGATAATTTGACACACACGTTATAAAACCTGTTCAATTGTTCAACAATTCGAACAAGTTGTTTCGGATCGAATCAGTCATCATGTGTGATCACTTTTGGGAGCCCATGGCGGAGGTTTACATCGCCAAGAGGACCGATTATCCGGATCCGGATAGTCACATTTATTGTCTCTGCAGCAGAGTTTTCATTCGGTAAATATCCTGAATAATTATTTAAAAAATAGAAAATAAAATTGACGGAGTGGATTGAGAAGTTTTTCCAATGATCGATTAGTCCCTGGACATTGGAATAGCTGAGCTCTTCATTGAAACAGTCGATCATCATCTTTCGATTGAATTTAATAATTATTCCGCAGACTTGTTTATCAAGTCCTGAGGAATTTTGTTAATTGGAAAAATCTCCACTGACCCAGTTCGTCGAGATTTAATAGAAAAAAAATCAGGCAGAATTGCTCATTCGGTCAATTACTGGTAGTTACATATTGATCAACGGCGTGACACCTGACCTAACCCTGACTATACGTTTCCTGCAAAAATCCAGTCTTGCAGTTTATCCTGCAAATTAAAATGTCAAAGTTCGTGGGATGCATGAGCTCAAGTATTGAATCGATTCAACAGACTCATTCATTTTATGAAGCAAAATAATTACGTAAAAAAAACATTGTCTGGAATTGGCTCATAATTATGCTGAGAGAAAAAACATGTGCTCAAACTGTTCTCGCTTGAACTCAAAAAAATTGCAATTTAAAAATTCCAAAGGCAAAAATTATTGCAAATGAACATCCAAAAGTTCCGAAGATGAATAATTGCTGTTTTGGCCTGCGGGATGAGCAATAGTTGCCTCAAAGGCGAAAAAACTATTTATTTATTTAAACTTTTGGAATTTCTTCTAAATTCCTATTTTAATTTTATTTCAACTGTTTTAATTAGTGAAGATCACATAAATATTTTACATGATTCGACCTAATTGCATTTTTTAAACAATCAGACAAAATAAAATGGACGCAAAGTAATTGAACGCAAGAACTTTGGATTTGTTAAAAAAGAAATTTTTCCTTCCACATTGAAGAAATAATTTCTTGGGGAGCGTTGAGAAATCGATGGGTATAAATATGTCGCCAGGAAGCGTGAGAAATTTGCTCTTTAATAAGGCAGATGAAAAGTCTTCTCCACACACTTGCCCTCGAGATACTGATTGTCAAACTTTTTTATTGCAATAATTAAAAGTTGTACTTTTGAACTACTTTTTTACGATGTTTTCCATTATAGCTGCACTTTGTTTTATGGTGTTTGCATAGAGTGAAATCAGGGTACAATTCCAAACTTTTAAAGTGAAATGGCTGGGTATGGAGGGATGAAACGATCTCATGGGGCCAATATCTTTCCACCGTAATTGAATTTCATGCTTCATTTCTTTTCATTTCATCAACTCCAACTATGCCAAATTGATAAACTTGAAAGAAAAACCCCATTCTCTATATCTTTTAAATTAAAAATCCTCAAGATGATGAATAATTTCGAAAAAATCAAAAAGCTTCATCTTTCCGAAGGAATGAATCATTTAGTTACTAGAAGAAAATCTAGAAAGAAAAATAATTTTCTGCAAAGAATGCCTATAAAATCCTCCCCCTCCCCCCTCCCCCGAGATTTAAGCAAAGTTGGAAGAAGTATTTCTCCCATTCCAAGAAACCCAGAGATCTACACAGTCCTGACTCAAGAAGATGCTAGCGAGCCCGAGACCGCCGAAACGGACTACCTCGGCGAGATGTTGGACGTCCTGAAGCAGACCCCCCTGGAGCCCCCCCAATACACCGAGAAGCACGACGTAAGTATCGTCCACCCGCCTGCCCCCTGAAAACTCCCATTCATCCGCCCCCCTTCCCCCAGGAAGAGCCAGTCAGCTGCTACTGCAGTGCATCCCACACAGACAACAACTACTCAACCGACGAGCACGACTCGGTCCGCGACTCGGTGCAAAGATCAACCACCTACGCCCTGGGTCAGAAACTGAGCCTCCACCAGTCTGACTCCGGGGCGGATCTCTCCGAATACCACGAACACGATACCAAGCCCCCGACCAATTCTCTCCACCTGTCTGAGCGTCTCCTCAAGACCCCCGAGGTGAAGCTGAAGAACTCCAGAAGCTTCACAACCCTCGACAGCTTCAACAAATACCGCGAGAATCCCTCTGAATCCGACAATTCCACCTTCCAAGAAGAAGCAAAGCCGAAAGATGAGGTTCTGAATCCCTCGGACACTCCGGAGCACGCCTCCTTCACTCTCGGCACCCACGACCACTCCGACTCCCCGACAGACCCCGAAGACTTCGCGATAATCGAGATGTACGACTCGTACTTGAACGTTCACGTGGTCTACGGAAGTGACAAGAAAAGCATGATCGACATAGCTTGGGAGAAATTCTGGGCTGATCACGGCGAGCGCCTGATCTGGGGCTCCTGGATAACGAAATACGCGGACTACATAAACCCCAGTTACATGCCCCCCGAAGAAATTGTAGAAGTCGAGAAACCGACTAAGATCCGAGTTGTCGAGAAGTTTTCAGAACAGAACACTTGTTTTCCAACGTGTGCGCACAAGAATTGCGACATTGGGCGATCGAATTTCGAGGGTCTCTTCAGTAGGTCAGACAAGCCCAAAGATCAACTGAACTTCACGTTTGACGACAGCACGAGACATATAAATGAAAAAGACGCTGAGGACAATCGAAAGAAGATGGGCAACTTCGAGCTTTCACCTGAGATCGATGGGTGGAATCCCCTGAGCCCCTTCAGCGCTGAAGAAAGCTACAANAGAGCCAGTCAGCTGCTACTGCAGTGCATCCCACACAGACAACAACTACTCAACCGACGAGCACGACTCGGTCCGCGACTCGGTGCAAAGATCAACCACCTACGCCCTGGGTCAGAAACTGAGCCTCCACCAGTCTGACTCCGGGGCGGATCTCTCCGAATACCACGAACACGATACCAAGCCCCCGACCAATTCTCTCCACCTGTCTGAGCGTCTCCTCAAGACCCCCGAGGTGAAGCTGAAGAACTCCAGAAGCTTCACAACCCTCGACAGCTTCAACAAATACCGCGAGAATCCCTCTGAATCCGACAATTCCACCTTCCAAGAAGAAGCAAAGCCGAAAGATGAGGTTCTGAATCCCTCGGACACTCCGGAGCACGCCTCCTTCACTCTCGGCACCCACGACCACTCCGACTCCCCGACAGACCCCGAAGACTTCGCGATAATCGAGATGTACGACTCGTACTTGAACGTTCACGTGGTCTACGGAAGTGACAAGAAAAGCATGATCGACATAGCTTGGGAGAAATTCTGGGCTGATCACGGCGAGCGCCTGATCTGGGGCTCCTGGATAACGAAATACGCGGACTACATAAACCCCAGTTACATGCCCCCCGAAGAAATTGTAGAAGTCGAGAAACCGACTAAGATCCGAGTTGTCGAGAAGTTTTCAGAACAGAACACTTGTTTTCCAACGTGTGCGCACAAGAATTGCGACATTGGGCGATCGAATTTCGAGGGTCTCTTCAGTAGGTCAGACAAGCCCAAAGATCAACTGAACTTCACGTTTGACGACAGCACGAGACATATAAATGAAAAAGACGCTGAGGACAATCGAAAGAAGATGGGCAACTTCGAGCTTTCACCTGAGATCGATGGGTGGAATCCCCTGAGCCCCTTCAGCGCTGAAGAAAGCTACAATCAGCATTCTAATGAGGATGAAAGACTGATAGCCATATCGAGATGCGATTCCATAACCGGATCGCTTGCGAAGACGAACGCGACATCCGATTCGATGACGAACGTCACTAAACTGACTCTAACGAACTCTAGCTTTGACTCTAGTTCGCAGCAGTCGTTGAGTCTCTTCAGTTCTGTCACGAGTTCCATCGAGAGTAACGTCACAAGCAGCAGTTCTGATCAGGACAATGACTTGACATCTGACAACGACAAGTACTGGCAGCTGCTGTGGAAGGAGAACTTCCAAATTCAGTACCAGCATCACTACACCTGCTTTGTCAACAGGTACATAATGGTACAGACTGAAAGCTCAAACTCAAACTCCTCGAGAATACCCTTCGCCAACGAGTCCTTCGAGGATCCAACAGCTGAGTCCCTGGTCGACAGTAAGACCGGGACGAAGAAATCGGCATCCAAGAGGAGATTGAATTCCAAGCGCAAGGTGATCGACTCTGTCGGTTACCTGATGCAGAATCTAACGATGAAGTCGGAGGACAATGAGGCAGAGCTCAAAGACACATCAAAACGAGAGGAATCATCTCAGGGAGGTGTTGGTCAAGTCCAAAGCTCGACGACACTAACGACTAATAATAATTCTACTTTTAATTGTAAGAGGTCTATCAACGGGGGGTCCAGCGATGGTGACAAGCCTCATGAGGACAAACCACTTACGTTGAAACGAAGTCATGAGGCTGATTTTGATGAGGCTCAGGAGGGCATGGAGACTGTTAAGAAGGCTTTCTCTCTGATGGGGTACACTTTCAGGGCGAATCAGAAGGAGGTGAAGCTGCAGGGTGAAGTGGTTTACAGGAAGAGGCATATTAGGCTGCCCAACAGGCAGCTCAAGATGAAGATCAATCGGAATAAGGGGAATAAGCACATTTACTTCGATGAGAATGGGGTTGAGATCACCAGTACTATTGACAAGGTCAAGCAGTATCTCTCGGACTGTCCCATCAAGCTTCCGAATGAGGGGGAGTTGGAGGCTAATGACAAGGGGAGTTATACTAAGGCCCATTTCACTTCTAGCTCGGATGAAGAGTGCGATGAAGCTGTCAGCACAAAACTTCACGCTAAAAGACTAGTCTTTAGCAAACCTAGCACAAGCTCTCTGGAGACACCTCCTGATTTCAATGCTTCGTATAAAACGTGTGATGATGATGTGTTCGAGGATGACAATAAGTTGGGGATTGGGGCTCAGATGGAGATGGATCATCATGAGGAGGGGGATGTTATCACGATCAAGGTATCGGATGAGGACAGTGGCAAGAAGGCGCTGAAGAAGAGGAGGAGGAAGCAGAATAAGAGGAATGTCAGTCTTCCTGTTGAGGTTGATAATGATAGGACGTTGATGAAGTATTGGGTGAAACGATATCGGTTGTTTAGTAAGTTTGATCAGGGCATCAAGCTGGATCGAGGTGAGTTGATGGTATTGAGGAATCATTGAGGATGATCTTGGGGTTTAATGGGTTTTCTTCGGGGGGATTTCGTGTTTTAGAGAGCTGGTTCTCGGTGACACCGGAGAAGATCGCGGCCCATATTGCGGATAGGTGCCAGTGTGATATAATTGTTGATGCGTTCTGTGGGGCTGGAGGGAATGCCATACAATTTGCATTTAAGTGTGAAAGAGGTATTTTAATTTGATTACTAATTTTCTCAGACATTAGTTCCACGGAATTGCAATAGAATGATATTTAATGTTTTTTTTTTTCTAGTGATTGCTATTGACATTGATCCAAATAAAATTGAACTCGCGAGAAATAACGCGAGAGTCTATGGCGTAGAGGACAGAATAGACTTCATCGTTGGTGACTTCTTCCAACTCGCTGATAAACTTATTGCCGACGTTGTGTTCTTGAGCCCACCCTGGGGTGGCCCAGAGTACTTGCACGATGAAACCTACGATCTCAACAGTATTCTCAAGCCCTTGGGTGGGATGACGTTATTTAATACTGCGAGGATGATCTCCGAGCACGTTGCGTATTTTTTGCCGAGGAATATTGATACTATTCAAGTAATTATGACATTATCAGAATATTTTGCTCTTTTAAGCCTCGCAAATTGGCTAGGATTTTCTATGAAATTGTTTCGTGCATGTGAAAAACAGAAATAATTCTCAATCGTGAATTGTTTAGCTTGCCATGTTGGCCGGACCCGGAAAAGGCGTTGAAATTGAACAGAACTTCCTCGACCGAAAGCTAGTAGCTCTCACAGCGTACTACGGTGAGCTTCCCAAGGACTGTTAATACCACGAAATGTCAGACGAATTTCTAGTATCGATGTATAATTAGTTGTACATAACGAAGGAAAAACCGTATCAGTTTGCTCCAATAATTGAAACAATTCCAAGCCGAAGACGTAACAATCTTTCATGAAAATCCACTCAGTCACCTGATTTTCCCAATGAAACCCACCATTCCCTTAATTTTATACACTGTATTTTCTAATTAGTTAATTTGTCAGCAGTACAAAACGCCGCTTAGCTTCCTAATTTCCTATTTTTATTACGTGACTGTTGGCGACTCGATACGGATGCATATGTGTGTTAAATCGTAACGTGGGTTCTTCCAATATCTCAACGAAAGAATTAATACGTGTTTTTTTTATTGTAGAACTAAACGTTTATTGAACTTTGAGCTCTTGTAAAAAAACAAATCTTATTTGAAAGACATTAATTTTCCAGTCATTCAAATGATATTGCAACTGTGAATTTTTAAGTTTTTATTGTAAAACGCGTGTCGTTTTATCATACAATTATAAATAAATGTAACCAGGACAAATACTTGTAAGACTCACTTATTTCAAGTATTTCGTACCCATTTTTTTACATGACACATTACCCAGGAATATTTTTTCTCTTGAGAAATAGAACTAAGTGATGACGAATTAAATGTACCGTAAAAAAATGAGGATTCGTAATATGAATATGTGATGAGTTTATCTAATTTCCAATGCTTCTGTTGGAAAAGATGACCAATAAGTCAAAATGGAACGAAGAGGTTGTGAAAATTAAGTTATTGTTAATTACGTAGAACATGGAAAGATAAATGACTTCATGGCATTTTGTTCTAAAATAATTAGTTATCGAGGTAATTCCGTATTTATAAACATGCAAAGAATTGTTTCGTTACGTTATATCATTAAGTTTCTGTACATCTCCGTTTTAATAAATTTTTGCGGAGAATGAGGGGATATTTCAGAAAATAGTAACAAAATTCATCAACTTGCCATGAAATTTCGTCATTTTTTTCTCCTGTAATTCTTCAGGAACTAATTTCCATTTTGAAGATTACGTTTCGCTATCGAATTACTGAATTTTCGTTATTTTTCATTGTTTTCTCTCAGTAAAACTACGGGAAGCTCAATGGAAAAATCAAGAACTGTACACTACGAGAAAATTATGACCTCTGAAAATCTCCCTCCGTTTTTTTTCTGTTTTCCCCTTTTCAATAACAACAGTAAAAATAGTGACTAGGGTCGACCTTAGAAAAAAGCATGGACACTCGTCCACCCCAATTACGATTCAACGTTCAGAATCTGGGGCTCGGTGTCATCGAGTTCAGCGGGAATGGTGATGCCACCAGTGTCGATATTCTCCTCCTCCTCATGAGGGATCTTGAGAAAGCAGTGCATGGTCTCGTCGTCTTCCTGCTCGATCGTCGATGAGTTCTTGATGGAATTATCTGACATTGGTAGAGAGCCCTCAAGGTGTTTCGAGGGTATTTGAATGGTGATGGTCTGGGACGTGCCATCAGCTGACGTTGAGGAAGACATTAAACTCGCTTCAATTGTATTTCCAACCTTTGAGAATGCCCCTAGGCAGCTGTAGATTAACTGAGCTGCTGCTATGTTACCAGGAAATACTTCAACATTGTTGGCATCTGGCAAAGTCAAAGATTATGAATGAATCTTTACTCAACTTTAAGATGAGTTTGGAGAATTTTTTGAAACGAGTTGTTTTCATTGAATTGTTTTTAGTGAATTGTAGAAACTTAATTGTTTATAAATTATTTGTGAGATAAGATCGTAAGGGATTCTAATAAAGACTCTGATGTGGAACTGCAAATATTGAAAACAAATTCAACAACAAAAATAACTGATTGAATTTTCAATAGAAATTCAATGTTGTGGAGAACTTTGCGGGGTCCTCTAGCATGTTAATGTATTCCTACACACACTTGACGAACAATTATACAAATATACGTCCTAAACGACTTTCTTGAAGCCACAAATCTTAGAATATAATTGACCTCCTTAAATTCGTGCTGCAGGAATTTTTTTCTCTCTAAATTCGAATTCTATTTGAATTTCTTTTTCTGTTGTTCTATATCACGTACTATTGAAAACATGTACTCATTTCGTTTTGTACAATAATTCGTTATTCAAATTCGACAATGTACATACTGCAAAGTAAACTGTAAGGTTTAAACTGCTTATCAATAAAAAAAAATGCTCAATTAAAACCAAAATTTTTTTTTTCAGAAAATTCGAAAATATTCTGTGAAAATGTGTTAAATTTACGTGTGTCATTTTGGCATTTTGTAACAAAAAATCCCATTGAAATCCATTCAGTCATTTCCTCGTGAATCGTAGCCAAAGAATGTGCGAAAGATCGATAAAATTTAAGAAAAAAATCTCCAAATTACCTTTATCCTTCTCTCCCTTCCTGACAGTGCTCTTGATGAGGCCCTTCTCATGTCCCCCCACATGCTCCAGATAGCTCTCCTTCTTAACCGTCCTGAACGAGCACAAATCACAGGTGAATATCCCCGAGGACTCGGGATGCTTGGCCTTGAGATGATTCTTATAACTATTGCTCTGTATCGCGGAATACGAGCAGTGAGGGCACTTGTAGGGTCTCACCCCCGTGTGCCTCATGACATGCCGCCTCAGGGAGTTGTGATCGCCAGTCTTGAACTCACAGAGATCACAGTTGAAGGGTTTGTCCCCCGTGTGCTGTCTGAGATGCATCTGCAGCATGGCCTTCCTGGAGCTCGAGTGGCCGCAGATATTGCAGACGTAGGGTCTGAGCTTGGAGTGCACCGCCTGCATGTGATTCTTGAGACACTTGGCGTCCGCATACGTTTTCCCACACATCTCGCAGGTCTTGGAGGTGTACCACCTGGGAATTTCCCCGGACTTTCTGTCCAGATGCAGGACTCGATGATTTCGCAGCTGACTCGACTGCTTGAACCTCTTTCCACAGTGTGGGCACTCGAAGTCCCTATCGTCACTGTGCACCCTCATGTGAGACGACAGCTTCATCATCGTGGCAGTCTTGTAGCTCTTGCAAATGGGACAGGAGAGGAGGTCAATGTCCACCTGATGCTTCTTCCAGAGGTGAATGAGGCAGCCCCTCCACTTGACAAACTTCACATCCTGACAGATGCTGCATTTGTACGAATTCACTGTTCCTGAGTCGACGTGGCAGTTGGCGTGCTCCTGCATCATCTCCTTAGAGCTGAACTTGTGGACGCACCCCCGGTACTTGCATCGCACGTTCTTCTCCCTGATCTCCATGAGTTTTGAGCCCTTCGTCTTGCCATTCTGTTTCGCCTCGGGCTCCTCCTCGTTGGGGCTCAGGGGCTTGAGCGTTGGTGACTCTGAGGGGTTGTCCGTCAGCTGGTGGTCCTTGATCATGTGCTCTCGACAGGTCTCCATCGAGGGGAAGCAGTTGGAGCACTCGCCACACATGTACATGAGCTTGACGTCGTCGATCTTCAGGGAGTCCAGGGGGGACGTGGTCGAGGGGTTCGTGTGGGTCTTCTTGAAGTGCTTGAGGAGTTCGGAGCGGTCTTGAGTCGTGTACGGACAGATCTTGCATTTGAAGGCTGTCACCACTTCGATGAAGTCGTTGGCGTTCAGCTCCTTATCCTGGAGGTCCTGGCTGTCTCCCTCAGATTCGTCGAGTATCTGCTCCTCGTGGAACTCCTCTGCATGATCCTGTTTGTCGTTTGGCACTTCCTGGGGGGAATTGTCCGAGGCAGATGCTTCAATAGATTCTTCAGGGATTTCTGGTTTTTTAGAAAGGTTGAGGTCTGCGGGGGATTTCTCGGGGCTCTGGGGCGTCTCGAAGTACAAAGCTCCTGCTTGGAGGGGACTCAGGTTCAGCTCCTGGAGCTGGCCGTCCTTCACTGCGTAGATCTGGCCGCCGAGGCACACCAGGGGGAGCGTCTGCTCCTCGTTGTCGGTCGGTTGCTCTGATTCTCCTGGGGGCTCGGCGTCAGAGGTCGGCGAGGTGAAGGTCGTTGAGTCCTCGTCGAGGTTCTCAATGTTTATGAAGGCCTCGGGGGAACTGGGGACTGTCTGGAGGATGTACTGGGAACCGTTGATCTCACAGGTGAGGTACGAGTCCTCGGGGGACGGTAGGGGCTCGTTCATGGTTCGAGCAGAGCCGGAATTTTTTCGATATGAAAACCCTCGCTATCTGTCATTCATCGGGGGATCAATGAACGTTTAGTGTTTTCGGTTTCGAATAGACGAATTTATGATTGAGAGTCTCTAGACACACCTTTCAGAGGTAATGGTTATAATATTCTCTAGCTATTGAAACAAATTTAGCGAGCTGTACTACACAGTTTGGGAGATAATAAATAATTAAATGCGTTTCCTCGAACTCGATTGTTGCATATGTACAACAAGTTTGTAATTTTCTAAAAGAATGCAATGTTCAAGTTTAGAACGAAAAAAATTATAGTACGTGTTAGCATGTTGTAATGGTGTAAATAATTCAAACTCAGAATTCAGCACTTTAAACAATAAAATAAAATGCAAAATAATTTCTAAATAAAATGAAAAATAATTAATACCTCAAATTGTCTTGAATTTGGATGGAAATCTATAATGAATTGATCGAATTTCATTATTTTTTTCCTTGAGAAAAAAATTCATGGATTATTCCGCAACGTTTCTGCGCGTTTTTCAATAAAAATGTTTAACAGAAAATATTTAATAGAAAAAATCAACAGAATTAGATTTTTCTATACAACTTATTTAATCTGATATTTTCTATAGCAATTGCGAAACTTGAATTTTCTATTTTTCCTGTTCGATTTTTTTAATGAAACAAGAAAAAAAATTGTGTAGAAAAAAACTAGAAAAATTAAAGGTGGGGAATTCCTACAGAAAATGTCTCAATAGACAAAACTGCATAAAAAGTCAAATTCTACTGATTTTTTTTTATAAAATAGTTTTCATTGGACGTTTTCTATGCTAATATTATGCTTGTATATTATTAATATGAGGAAACAATTTTTCTATTGCCTTTTTTATTTGGTTAAAAGAACAAAAAAATATTGTTTTTTCCTCTTATTTTTCCATTATATGGCTCAAAATTAACCTTCATTAATCAGGTTACACACTACTACGAAGAGGTTATCTCATAAGTTACGAATGTCAATAAGAATGAGTTAATTATTCTCTTGAGTAATAATTTTCGTGTTGGTTAAAATTAATTTCGGATTTCACCGGACTGAAATGACGAATTTGAGACGGACTTCGAGTATCCAAATTTGAAAATACGGTGTTAGCATCCGCCGCAAGTGCAGGCGTCTGCTTCGAGGTTACGTGGGCATAAAAATTCATGTTTCCGAAGGATATACAACGAAAAATGGGGGTTTGATGATTGAGATTTATCACAGGAAATATTAAAAATTTACCTGAGTGGGTGAATGCATCAGAAGTTGCCGGAGAAATTGAGAAATTAATTATTTAACTGTCAGGAGAAGCCCTTCAATACAATGGGGTCGCCATTTTGCATTTTGGATCACGTGTTCGTCAATAGTGCGAATTAATGCGAATGCGAATACAAAAGAACAACCAGAAATAATTAGAATTCATGAATATATTCCTTGAATTTTAATTCATCTTCTTCAACATGATTTTTATGAAGAATAAAATTTCAGAAGACCTTCATTGAATTTAAAACCTAAAAAAAAAATTTCCCATTCAATTAAAATATGGAATTATCTCGATAATTGCTGATTCTAGGAAAAAACGTCATAAAATATTTTTAGTCTGAAATTTCATCAGCTCTAAAAAGTGTTTTATGGCATTTCCTCCTAAAAGCCCTGGTTTCCGAGATAAAGCCAAATAACAGATATTCAATTGTCTTTTACAATCCAATTTCACTGAAGCTTGAATAATCATCCGAATTCATAACACTTGAAATTGCAATGAAAAAAAATTGTTTATTCCCTCTATGTAAATACAATAAACAAACTATCAACAATTCTTTCCACATCTCCAATTAAACATCAGAATTCCCCATAAACCGAACTCTCCAAACAATTAATGCCTAGGAGTTCTCTCCGCATTTTGCCTGGCAATCTCCGGGCAAAATTGTGAATTGTACTTCTGTCTGATGGTGGGTCTGGACTCCTCGCTCTTGACAACAGGCAGAGGCTCGCCCCTCACCTTCGCCAGAAGAGCTTCAGTCTTGAGTTTCTCCGACTGTTCCCTCAGCAACCTCTTAGCCCTCAGCCTCTCAAGATCAACGTCCGGTTTCTCCCTCTTGTCATATTTACACTTCTTCGACTTCTTCCTGCGCTTCTTATTCTTCTTCGATGTTCCCTCGTCAGAGCTCCCATCGGCCTCCAATTTCCGTTTTTTCGAGGCCTCACAACTGACCCCAGTGTCACCCCTAGAGCTGGAACATCCCATGATGCTCAGATATCTCCTGACATCCACCAAGGGATCGTGCAACGATTTTTTCTTCTCTTGCACTTCCTTCGAGGGCTCGGCATCAGTCAATCTCCGAGGCAACTCGTACCAATTTTTTTTCCCAGTTGCCTCGTTCGTGTCCTGCCCCAGGTACGTCAAGTAACCGATCTGCTTCTCGTATTTCTCTCTCTCCTCCTTCTTCTCCGCCTCGTGCTCCACATTTGGCTTGTTGTAGTCGATTTTTCCATCCTCAATGTCTTTGAAAAAATTCACGTGCTCGAGGACTTCTGGGTTTTTCGAGGTACTTTCAGTTGTTGTCTTGTCCCTTCCGTCGTATTTCCTTCGGGATTTCTCTCGCAGTAGATTTATTCTTGCTTCAGTCTCCTAGAATAACAATTCAGTAGCGAAGTGGGAAAACGGTTTCAGTCGACTCATCTCTTAGTTGAGTTTTTGAGGAATATTTCCGAATCTAAGAGAGATAGCGAAACTTTTGTTATAACTTTTTTTGTAGAGCCGATTGAGAGCTACAATAAATGTAATTACGAATATTTCGCTATCTCCCTTAGATTCGAAAATATTCCTCAAAAACTCACCTGGGAGATAAGTCGACTTAAACCGTTTTACCACTTCGCTACAGAATTCTAATGAGAAAACTAAAAATTGGAGAATTTGTTGCTGTAAAGAATAATTCTAATGAGAAACAACAAAAAATTCTGCAATGTTTTTTAATTTATTCGCGTTCTATTGACTTTTTCCTGTGGATTTTTGAAAAATTCATCTCAATACGAAATTTATTGAGTGATTTTATGAAAAAAATCTCAACGACCAATTTTTCAAATTTATTCAATAGCAAAATTAATGACTATTTGCTTGTCCACTTACTGCTTTCTGAGCCCTCGCTTTCCGCTCTTTCTCCTCTTCCGCAGCTTGTGCCTCGTCTCGACGAACCCGAGCAATATTCTCTTTTGTCCTTACGTGCCATCTAATCAACGCAAGGATAATTGTGAATAATTATTATTCATAACCATGTAAAATCCTCATTTGACTGTCTCCCAACGATTCACGATTTTTCTCACCTTTTTTTCGGCAGGATATTCATTTCCACGAATTGTTCAATGCAAAATCTTATTTATTCACTTCGGTTTGATCGAACAATCACTTTTATAATCACCAGAGGCTTTCACACAATTAACTTGAACGAAATTATTCGTGTCCTGCCTCCGTTTTGGAGTAAATAAATCCTGGAGGTTATGTTCACTACGACTGTGTCCCTGTGACAGCCACAGTTGAGTGTTGAGTTATCAACTCCACAGTCTCCGAAAAATGTCAGAAATCATGGCAAATACGCCAAACGCTCGACGTTCCATGTAAGATAAATTATTCATTAGTTATTGCACGGATAGAATTTCTATCAGATCTCCTCACGATAATTAAGGAACGAACTTCATCAAAAATAAAGATCAAAATTTTTTTGGTTAGGTTTATCTGTCATGCACTCGAAAAAAATCCTAATATTTCTTTCTTGTTTTTGCAATTTCGTGTAACAGTGGGAATTACTGAATGGGGACTCGTTATTTTTATTTCTAGTGTAAAAATATCAGCAGGAGCAGTTGTGTGTGATGAAAGTATCCTGAAAGGGGACATCACCATTGGGCCCAAGACAGTGGTTCACCCTCGAGCGAGTATCATAGCTGAGGCTGGACCGATCTTCATTGGGGAGGGGAACATAATCGAAGAAATGGCTTCGATAATAAACAGGTTGAATAATTATCCGCCTCTGAAGACTCTTTCATTGTTGTGTTAATGTTTAAACAATGGGACAAGCCAATTAGTCATTTAATAGATTGAAAAATTGAAAATGTAAAAATTGTGATTTCTATTTTTTGATTTGTATTCTTTACACAGAATTGTAAAGAATACAAATCAATTTATAATTTGTCAATTCCTCAATCATTTTATTTCGAAGGGTTTATACAGACTATTATTTCCACGTAGGTTACCACCTGGAGGGAACCCTGACGCTGTACGTACCCAAACTATTGGGAACTTCAATGTCTTTGAGACTGACTCCATATGCGAAGCAGAGAGAGTTGGGGATAATAATGTATTGGAGACCAAAGGTACCCCACAAGTTCTATTTGATTTTTGTATACAACACATAGTTTTTCGCCAGAACTAATTTTCCCTGAGAATTCATTTGGAATTAATGAATTGTGTATTTCGTGCCATTTCCAGAAAAAAGATTATCGAAATGAATGAAAATGTTTGAATTCCTCCAACATCTCATTATTTAATCCAACATTATCGAGATAATTTCAATTTTTAATTCGTGAGTCGTGAATTAAAAATCCATCATTGATAATGGAATTGTTATTAGAATACTTTTATTTATTCAAAACATTTTTTTTCATCAGCTGCAGTCGCTCGAGGAGTTGAATTGACAAATGGCTGTGTGATTGGCCCTTCTTGCTCGGTTTTGGAGCCTGAGATAGTCCCCGAAAATACGATTGTGTATGGAACTAAGTGTCAGCGTCGAGAAATGAATGACAAGCCTTATGTGAGCAATAATCATTATAGAAGATTAAATTATAGAATTATTTATATTCTATAATATAATTTAATATATTATAGAATATAATATATTTAAAAATGTATAATATATTATTTCCATATATTCAATTATATTATAGAATAATTAAGAAAACGTTGGGAATGTTGAAAATGAAGAACGACCCAGATATTGAACGAATTCACTTTTTTCAATTTCAGCCTCAAATGGGTCAGCTGGAGTTTTTGATAAGAGTCCTACCGAACTATCATCATCTGCGGAAGCCAAATATCAGGCTGCCGAAAGCAGAGCCCTTGTCGTAGGATGAATATTTCACGTTTAATTTAATAAAATGATAATTTATGGATATGATAAATAATAAAGATAGAGCATTGCTTTTTGATACTTGTGAGGAGAGAAAAAATATGCTGTTTCCTTTTTTTGGTATCACCCCCAATCATTTCTTACAGGACAGAAAAACATTTGAGAAACTCTACAGAGAAACTTTTTTTTTTATGTTCACATTGTGCTACTGTTTCCGTGAAATTACGAATTGAAATTATTTTTTAGAATAAAAAACAGAGGAATTTCATCTGTCATACAATTTTTTCTATAGGTTTTGAAACATTTGCTATAAGAATTCGTCGACTCCATTCTCCAAGTTTTTTCCACTAAATTTTTCTCCTCTTTTCATTGGAAAAATCGAACAAAAATTTGGTAAATATGAGCAGAAAAATTTCTGTTGATTTTTCCTGTAGAATATTTTTCATCGAACATTTTCTATTGATAACCGCACGCAGATAAGCTCTTGCAGCTATTTGCCAATAGAATCAGTCAAAAACTAATAGAAAGTTGAATAGAAATCCAATGGAATTTTCTAGCCAATTCGCTAGGTTTTTCTGTCAAATTTTTTCGTCCGTAGCCACAAAAATGCTCTTGAGGAGTGGATTTACCACTCAAAATGTTGGCAAATGAAAATTTATGTTTTTGAATTTCAAATTTAAGAAGAAACATAACTGAAAATAACTTTATTATTATTTATATTATTTTAGCATTGTTTTTTACTGAGGGAATAAATATAATATAAATATATACTTTCCCTGTTGCATTTTCCCCATTGAAAACAGTTGTCTGAAAAAATCGTCGCGCACAGCTACAACCTGGATTTACCAATTAATCATGGAATATTCAATCGATTTGTCAACCATTTTAAGCTGCTGTCATTAGGAAATACTTGAAAAATGTAGAAAGTGTAACAGAAAATAAAATACACCAATAACACGGTGCAGATGATGAAGTAGCAAATGAAGTAGATGTCTATTTCTTTCATCGTGTACATTCATCGCAATTCAACACAGAACATGATATAAAATCGCAAGTAAGAAATCCTTGAGGAAAGCTGTTATCAGATACTTCAGGCGCATCGAAGTGGCTCAGAAGATCGTCAAGACATTGAATTTATTGAGAACCTCAACATCTTCCAACTCAAGGATTCGTTCTTTATCTGAGCGGTTTTCCATCTCTGAAGGAAAATATTTCAGATTAGAATTAACTGAATAATGATTAATTATGAATTATTAATTGATCATCTTTAAAAAATTTTACATACAGGCACAACTGGCTCGACGACAGAGCCCTGAACAACACTGGCTATCCCTGATGCACTGAAATCACACAAATATTATGAAAAAAATGTAATTCAATAGTAAAACCGCAAAACGATTCAAATCAATTTGGCTTCGGCTGAGTTTTTGAGAAATATCTCCGAATCTAAGGGAGGTAACGAAATTTTCGTGATTACCTTTTTTGTAGAGCGAATTGAGGGCTGCAAAAAAGGTCATAACAAAAATATTGATATCTCCCTTAGATTCCGAGATATTCGTTCAAAACTACTGAATTGTTTTTTTACTTAACACACTTACCAAATTTTTCATTGTCCTCCAATAAAAAATTATTAAAATCTTCAACAGAAATATGAAAAAAATTTATATCAACTCACTCGGACACCCCGTCCTCTGCACTGTCCGCTAACGGCAACTGCCAGCATTGCGATGACCGCGAAAATCGAGAGGAGCTTCATGATTTCTTAATTTTTCGTTGGAAAATAAAGTTTCAGAACGCGGTCCCCTTTATACAACCTCCCATATCTGGCGCAGCTCAATCGAGAAGAATTAATCTTGTCCTTGTAAAAATGTATGCACATGTGGAATTCCGCAAATAAGAGTAATCCCGAATCGCTTTATCGCTGGGTTCGGTAGAAAAAAAAGTAAAGAATTTTTATAATAATATTTAATTTCCGAACAATGAAGCAGAGCGCAAATATTTTTCACGACGCTATCGAGCCTATAAAATCTGCTCTTTATTTTATTTTTAATCTCCTTCGTCATGCACAACAAAGAGATGAATCGCGACCGCATTTATGTTCTCAATCCAATGTGTGATAATATTTTCGTAAGGAAAATTTTACTCCAATGTAATAACATTTGTGATACATATGGAGAGTCTGTTCATATATAAAGCGGACTGTTTTTACCGCAAATTACTCGCAGTAGAAGTTACGGAAAATTAAAATTGTTTTAAATTTAATTAAAATTGTTGAATTAAAGTTATGAAGGTTCTCACGATTTTCATGTTCATCGTGATGTTGGCAGTGGCTGTTAGTGGACAACGCTGCAGAAATTGGCCGGCTAGAGTTAGTTGATCATAATAGAAAAATCAATGACATGTGGCAGGAAAAATTTAATTACGAATTGTTAATACGATTTTAATGATTTCAGTGTACCCAGCATCGCCAGTGCTGCTCGAACCTCTGTTTCAACGGAAGATGTGCCACAAGAATCAATTAATTAAATAACGACACCAATTGGTCTAGTATTTTGTACAAGAATTTTACGAAAAAATTGTGAATGATTAATGAATTAATCTCATTAATAAGTAACCGTATCTGCAATGAGCATGAAAATTTCGTAAGATGATTTCAAACTAAAAATTGTTTTATTTTTTTGACGAGTCTATTGAAGAATTCCGCAGCTTTACTGCGCGTTTTTTATAGAAAATAATCCATAGAAACCATTTTTTAGCAAAAACCTGTAGAATTCCATCTGCATATTCTATTTCAGATGAACTTTCTAATGTTTTTTTTCATTCCATTTTTCTTCTTTTTATTCGAAAAATCAAGGAAAACAAATTGAGAATTCGAGCCGAGGAATTTTTATAAAAAATATTTCAATAGAATAAGTTGCGCAGAAAAATCAAATTCTATTGATTTTTTCGATAGAACATTTTCCACTGAACATTTCTATTGAACCAAAAAGCGCGCAGATGAAGAATTAATTCAAGAGGAAAATTCTACGAGAGGCAAAACCCTCACACGCAGTGAACTTCTATCGGCAAAGTGGCTCTCGCCTCGCTAACCTTCCATTGTTCACGCCAGTAGTTCACTGCTGTTCAAATGAATTTCTTTTTTTCTCTCAGAAGGAAAAAAAAAGAAAAAATTAATAACAAAAATAGTCGTTTTTTTAAATTCTCGATTGTTTAATTAATTCGTTGTTCATCAATTGTTTACCAAATTCAATGCGATTTCATTTCTAATCAGATCAGTTGAGTTGTCTACAATCAATAAAGATGAATAATCAATGCTCTGTTCAAATATCTGTCTGATTTAATATCTTCTAGGGAAATTTCACATGGATTTTTTTTTCTCAGAGACATGGGAACTTCTCTTCGAAAAAATATTCCGGGGATTTTTTCCGGGGGACTTTTCACAGAGAAAAAAAAATCCGTTAACCACAATTAAAGACAATTAAAGAAAAAAAAAGACAATTGAATAAAAACACCGCGTGTTTTTATTCATTTCATTTCATTCGTTCAATGATTAAATAATTGTAAAAATTTCGGTGATTCCAACGACAAAAAATCCAAAACCTCAAGATATTTTTGAAAACCGAATTTGAGGGAGGATATTGGACAAAATTTAATTTCAGTCAAATTATCGATCGCTCATAATTCACTCCGATAATTCCGGCACTCGGAGATGAATTATTCCGAATAAACTGCAATTTCCAATATCTCAATTTTTCCCATCGAATAAAATTCCGAAATGTCTCCTTATTAATAGAATCCTTCCACCAGCAATCTCAGCATGTATAAGAGGTTACTCTTGATGGATTGATAATTGAATCTCCGATGAACCACTTCATGTCCCCCAGAATAATCTCACCAATCGGATTTGTCATTTGGAAAAATCCAAAATTAATGTTCTCAGAATGTTAAACTACCTTCATCACCGTTGGAGTGACAATTTTGAAAAGCCGAGAGAAACATTGGCGCTATAGTATATGTGCCTTGTACCGTAAAGTGGTGACCCGGGGAGAACTGTCATATTTTGACGTCCGCCGAGGGCCCAGTGGAAACGAGAGATTATTTTTCGTGATGCTGTGGCAGGGGGTGGGGACTGCCAGGGCATAAATGGAGGGTGAATTGAAAGCGAGACGCAAACTGAAATGAAAGGGGGGGGGGAGGGGGTGGTGCTGAAAAAAATGAGCAAAAGCCAACCAAGGGGAAAACCCTAATGGCACGACAATTTTACTTAACCATTTTCGAGCATTGTCGTTAAGGCAAAAAGGATGGACATGGGAGAATGGGAAATGGAGGAGAGGAAGAATTGTCTTAAGACGAAAAGTCAATTGGGATTTTTGGAAGTTGAAGAGACATTTTCAGTGGAAAATTCTAGGGGAAATATTTTTTTCCACGCGCGAAATAATTTTAAAGAAAATGTCCAACAGAAATATATTATAGAATAAATCTCTAGCATTTTATCCTTCCATAAATTTTTTTTTATTGACATGAATTTTTTAAAAATCCAACAAAAAAACTGAGAAAATGAATTTCTATAAAAAATTTAATTTAATTTCTATAAAAAATATCTCAATAGAAAAAGTTGTATAAAAAAATCAAATTTTATTGATTTTTTAAATTAAATATTTTCCATTAAACATTTCTATTGAAAAAAATTCACAGATGAGCTGCAGAATTTTTCAGTAGATTCAATAGATTTCAAAAATTGATACTGTTCCATAGAAATTCAACAGAATTTTTCATTAAATTCAATGTCTGAAGAGAAGTGTTCACTCCAACTGATGGGACAACCGTTGTCGAATTATTAACAGAAATGAAATTTTTATAAATGAGTGATAGGTAATTTTACTCGCGATAGAGATCGGCAGAAATGATATTTCACTTTTGATAAATCATCATTTACATTCTGTCCCATTTGATTGAATTTTAAATAAGAGATTCATAAATCAAATTCACTTCATAAATTCCGCGATTTCATAAATTAAAAAAAACAACAGCAGTCCTAGTTTTAAAGCCGTTTCCAAGTAATTAACAGTCTCCTCAGAGTAAG